ACATACATACATACATACATACATACATACATACATACATACATACATACATACACGCTCACCCATACGCGTACGCACACACATAGACAAACACATACACACAATACACACACGCACACACACATAATATACACATTTTAATAAAGTGAGTTTATGTGTGTGTATGTGTGTGTATGTGTGTGTGTATGTGTGTGCGTGAGTGTATGTGTGTTTGTGTGGTTGTGAAAAGCCTACAACCTATGTATTTCAGTCTTGCTCCACATAATATTTTCTACTTTTTCAAGTGGCACGTTGGTTTGCCTAATAATTATTTTCCTGTTATTTTTCTATGATTGAATGTCGTCCTATCTCGTTATAATTAAATGTATGTGTGGCAGGAGCTGTGTATATGCTTCTGACAATAAATGCCTCATTTCCCTTCATTCTCTTTGTCGTTACCTCCCCTTATTAAAAATAACAAACTCTGCCTTTGCATGTTCGTAATCCCTTCACAAGATTCATTAACCGCTGGATCATAAAAAATGATGTGTCTGTTAACATGTTTGTTTATACACTGCTCTTTGAAACAACCCCAAGTTTTCTCGTATCTTTGTTAGCTGTTTTGCTTCGATTAGGTACAGACCTGATCTTTCTTTTAAGAAGACGACCCCCCCCCCCCCAAACATCCCCAACATCCCCCTACCCATCTCATCCCCCAATTAGCGTCAGGTTGAAAGGAGAGTTTTCGCACAAAGAAAAGAGGACAGTTCTATACCACCAGATAAAAAAGCAGCAGAGAAGCAACATTGGAGGGGGAGAGGGGCGGGGATGTGAACGTGTGAGCGCGAAATGTAAAGAAAGGGATAAAGAGAAAGAGTTTGAAAGTGGAAGAGAGGGAGGAGGAGGGAACAAATTATATGTTGCGAGGAAGTTAGCTTAGCCCATTGGCAAACACTGCTTCCACGCGGATTACAATACCTTTCGGGAGTTTCATGAGACCACATTAAACAGAAGAAGTTGATCTAATATTAAAGAATAGGCGGAGGGGGTTACGAGGTGCAGTTCCACAGCTCGGGTGGCACCGAGGCGTCACATTGGCCAGCATGTCGCTAGGGGAGCAAACGTCTTAATTATGTCAGTGAGGAGGGTGCTGTTGAATTGAAGACTGCGGCGAGTGTGATTGCTTTTTATGTCTTCAAAGGAAGTAAGTGCATTGCTTTCAAATATTATGTTTCTGTTCAACTCCATCTTCTTCAGTCCATCTCCCGACGGGAATTTTAGAAGTTTGATAGTCCTGACCCTTGTATTCAAGTCATCTCTTTTTAAGTTCGGCCAGTTTGGTTTAATACCGTACAAATGCCTCTCTCTCTATAGGACAGACTTCCTTAAGTGTTAGCAATTGGTCAGTAGATCTGTGATTTCACCGTGAAATATTTACAGATTCAGTTTCAGATATATTCTTGCAACAAAAAAGGATACATGCTTCTAATCCATATCAAGGAAAATAGAGGTTAATAATTTTCGATTCGCTTGTCATCAGAAGTGATCAATAACAAGAAACTGTTTTGTTCAGTTTGTTCATACCTATCCAATAACTCACATGTACGCCTTGAAAGGAATTCCGGGAAGACGTCCTAATAACCTTTATCATTCTCAAAAATCACGTTAAATATGAGATTCGCCAATCCTTAAAAGGTGTCCTTAACAATGGCTACAAGAAAGAACTTGGAGATCTTACGATGGTTTCAGTTTTGAGCAAACCTATTAATCTATAACTACTGACTTTTAACATTTTTTTCCAGTCACAGGATCGCTATTGCTAAATGTCTTAAGGTAACTGGGCCAAAAACGTGGTCTGTGTTCATGGTCACGGTCAAAACCATTTGAGAAATTCAGAATTTAAACTGCTGAAATCGTGGATAGTTTCAAGCAAATAGAAGAGACCCATTAGTTTGTTCGGTACTCATCTCTCTACCAAATAGAAAGGTCAAAGGTGGAGATTTTGTCAATGCCACGTGAGATCACATTATAGAGCACCGACAGCAATGATTGTTCATACCCTGCAATGGCATCTAAGTTTAAGCATGGTATCTTTGAAAGAAGTATACATTGTTCGTGTGTTTAGGCTTACGATACAATCATTTTAAAAATGCTTTTGCTCTCTGTTTTCTCTTTTTTCAAATTAGATGCTATGTTTACATTTTGTGTTCCTTTTAATTAAGAGAATGACATTCTTTAGGTTAGAGAGGAATGAAGGCACTTAAATGAAAAGAAAGAAACAGGCAAATAAAAAAGGCACAAAGGGAAATTAATGCCATTTTATTTGTCCCGTAGAGAATATATTTCATTTACAATATTTTTTAACGAACTCTTTTCGGGCCTTTGGACCTATGAGACAAAGTGTGTCTGTGGGGATTTTTATGCTGTTGGGGTGAAGTTGCTCTTGGACATGTTGTAAGTCGCAGTTTTATGTCTTGCGAGATTCGAGCGGTTTTCGTTGTCTATTTATTACAGACTCGCCCCCTCCCTTTTCTCTCATTCTCAAACCATCTGTCTTATTGAGAACGTATGAACTTAGCCGTTGAAGCCGCTTTCTTTACTTTTGCTTTAATCCCTCATCCTTACATCTTTTTATATGAAAAAAATAGCGTGAAATGTATCAAGACAGAATCAGTTATATTCCTTTGTTTCTTAAATTCTGTACAAACGCATCTATTCTGTTGTAACTGGTTTTGAGGAAGAAGTATAGCGTCAGCAACGCCAAGCCAGACATGAACTTCCAATTAAATTGCAAGAACGATGAACAAGCGAGAACGGGAATAGGAGAAGGTAGGTGGAGAGAAGGTGATCGAGACACACACACACACGGAGAAAGAGAGAGAGAGAGAGAGAGAGAGAGAGAGAGAGAGAGAGAGAGAGAGAGAGAGAGAGAAAGAGGGGGGGTGAGAGAGAGAGAGAGAGAGAGAGAGAGAGAGAGAGAGAGAGAGAGAGAGAGAGAGAGAGAGAGAGAAAAAGGTGAGGGATGATAAAGAATAGAAAAGAAGAGAAAAAAATGGGAGGGATGGGGGGAATTATGGAAAACTGGCAAACTGGCCTATGGCCAGCTAACCATGCTTCAGACGCTGCAATTAGACGAACATCGTTCGAGAACATAATAGAAATTCCCGCCCACCCGCACGTATAACAATTATAGCCTAATTGACTCTTTCATTTTTCTATTTAAATTTCTGAGCATGCTGGCGAAGCCCCTCACTTCTAGATTGAAATAACCGAGCCATGGTCTACATATTGGCTTCTATTCAGATACAAGTCTTGGCTTCAATCGGCTTTACCTGCACTCTGAACTTTTAAGGTTGACAATAAATGTTGCTGGGTATAGGGGGCGCTCGTGCCTGGAAGTACATTTTGTTAATTGAAAACACAGACTTAAAAGTGACTTGAACGAAAGATTTTTTTTAATTCTTAAAAGTGGATCCAGTGTATACCTGTGTCATTGGTTATTTCAGAACTACGAGCGTCTGTGTTTTTTTCGGTTAAATTACTGTCTTCTAAATTTCGAAGAAACCAGGGGCTCCTCATTGTTTTTGCTGAAAGTGGATGAGATCGAACTATCTCTGCACGCACCGAACTGAAATTTCGGGACTTCAGTCGTTATACAGCGTTTACGATTGGCTCAAGAAAACCACGTGACGTGGTGAACTACATTCGATTCCAGTCCAGTTTAGACCAAACGAAGAAGGAACTGTGGAGTAAGAAGTGTTGAGGAAGATAAAAGCTTGGTGCACTTGTTAAGCATCTGATCAGACATAAGAGAAATGAGATACGGTGAGTTGACTTCGATGTCTGACTGTAGGGTCTTTACAAGTTTTGCGAGCACGTACTGAATTATGGACTGTTGTATTTTAGCTTCATGGTTGCATTTCTAGTGTGATATCTGCAGATACCAAAATGCAATAATAGTGAATCAAATTTGAATGTTGAAATTTTTTTTAAAACATCTTAAAGGCCTTCTGAAATTAGAGATCATTTGAATTGTTATTCCTCACGAAATCGTGCGTCAGATGTTTGTCCGACTAGAAAGTAATGTTCGGTTGTGTTTGTCGATTTTTGCGCCGCACCCCTTTACGCTTACTGTTTAAAAAAATGTCCATACCATCCCACCCAAACCCCCACTCAGCTTTATATTGCAAGTGTAATGAGGGATATACATGCATAATGTGTCTCGTAATGTTCTATCATGTCGTAAAAACAACCTTTAAATATTTTTGTTTGAATAAAGAAATTAAACTTTTCGTAATGTTTGGGGGGTTTTTCCATTCCTGGAACAGCCGTATGGCACCAAGTTTGTTTTTTTTTACTTCGGAGTGCTCGATGTTCTTGTTTAATTTTTCTTATAACGTGAATCCACAGTTTTGTTCAGACGGTAATGAAATTCTGTTCTCCAAATTAAAGTAGACACGTGCGAAGCTAACTGTTTGACATAAAAGGTGGGGACAAAGGGGCAGAGGAAGGCAGATGAAAAGGAGGAAGACTAAATGTGGGCCATCAGTTTGTCAATACGTTTAGTGGGAAGTATTTCTCGTGTAAAATTTCGAATTTTAGGAAGCAAATTGAGGGGTAATTTACTGTCTAGGGAATTCAAGGTTAATGTCGAGAGTCAATTTAGGATTAATTTGGTGCGACAGGTTAAGTCTTGCTGTGAACTCCTGAGCTGGAATTTGAAAAATAATGAATGTCCGGGTATGGGACGGGTTGAAATTTGGGGTCCTCGTTTGTGTGTTGTGAAATTAAAGAAGTTAAACGAAATTAGGCAGAGGAGACGCGTAAGAAATGTTAATGGAAAAGTGAAACCTACAAACTGGCATGGAAAACGAGGAAAAGAAAGGAAACATGAGTCTTGTTCGATAACAGTTTCATTCCAATACGAGTACAAGCAAAATGTCACAACATTTTTTTCCAAATGTTTATTTGCTACTATTTTTCGAAAGCAAAGTTTAGGCAGCTCGTCGGTACAATGAATCGTTAACACGACAACTGGCTAGACAAAGTCGGCCCACTCATGTACGTTCAAACAGACAACAACAAAAACGCATTTGCCCTACCTGTAAATCGATGCAGGAGCGCAAACGCAGTAATTATCTTTTTCCGTAATCCTCTTTGCTAATCTTCTTCAACGTAAGATACCCCCCCC